GGAATATGGCTTCCCCGGTGACTTGGAATTAATCTCACAACCCCGTAAAATCGCTCGTGTTGAGATCGGTTACGCACGTACCGCAAAAATGATCAATATACGACATTTAAAGAACGCTATGTGGGATTTCCTCGAAGATTCAATCCCGAGCGCAACTAATCCGGCGTCCCGATCACCTTATTCAGCTGCATCCACTTCTTCCGCACCGGAACCACCCTCACTTGCTGGAGACCCCGTGGTCGACCAAGGGACTAATTTGCCTGATCTAGCAGGTAATCATGACGAACACGCCAAAGACCAAAAACCTGTGTCCCATGTTCCTGGGGCATGTAGCTTCAGTGAACTAATTGACAGCTTATCCAGTCGAATCAGTTGGCAAATGGCAAAAGAATTGAGTATTTCAATCGCTCTCAACTGTCTCTTGCACCTATCCAACGAAAAAGTAAGTATTTTATGCCACTCGAAACATTTTACAAATACTCATGTATCGGGTAACTAATATGTATATACCTACATATTTTTAGAACCAAGACGGCTTAGGATTCAACGAGACATAAGTATAAGTATTAACCTTGCACATTCCACTTGCTGGTTTTCGGATGTCCATTTTATTGAAGGAGTAGACGGAAAAAGTAGGAAGCTGAATGCAGTGCTAATATGAAGATATAGAACGCAATTGAACAAAGGCGGTTACATATCTTAGATAACACAAACATCTGCTTGACTGAATTCACCTAAGTCCACGGACCAGGAGTTTCATAACTTCTCCCACCTACTACCCGCTTTGGCATCCATCGCACTCAGAGAAAACCTAGCTGGTGACATTTTGTGCATCTCTCGGACGCAGTTATACTAGCAATCGGTTGTGAAGATGAATGAATACCATGTGATTTTTACAATAGCGGTACGGTCAGCAGAAGACCGAACAGTATACTTGAAAGGTAACTGTCATCTGCACAGCAACTGAAGACAAATGCAAATACTCCAGTGATTATCTATGGTAAAAACGTTTGGCCGTATCAGAGCATTTTTACCCCGACCATACTGAGGCTTTCAGAGGCGCTTAACTTTGGTAAATCAGTAGCAACTCGAGGAGGAATTGAAGTGGCATGTAAATGCCATTACTAAGTCTAGGTATGGGTCGACACCCAGCCGCAATGCAGCCATTGAGGTTAGCGTATCTGAAAGTAACGTCAAAAAGCGTGTAATAAACCGCGATATGTGACACTAGAGCGGCAGATTACTGCACCTATCGTATCATGGTTAGAGTATGACGGGTTACATGTTGGTGGTGCGTCTGTCATGACTAAAGAGGTCTGCAGAGAGTGGTTCAATAATATCAAAAAGGAAATGCGTGAGTAATGCAATGTTGTACCTTGGCATAGGGAACTGAGGTTGATAATCAGTCTGCTGTTCATCTATTTGATAAACACTCTTCAGGTTACTTACCCGCTCATCACAGTGCACCTCGTCTTTTATCGCAAGACAAAACGGTTAAAAGCAAAATTTGTTGCAAAAAGGAAGATAAAGTCATATGATAAATACTATCCGAAAACTACTGAACACCGCTGAGATTCACAGCAGTTGTATTACTGGGTTGAGCTACTTCGGTGAAGGTCTGTAACCATATGTTGATATTTATTAAGACTCCGACAAAAGGATTAATTTCAGTAGTTTCTATCCTCCTACTTGTTGCTTTCACCTCCCACTACCCGTCAAGAAACTAGTCATCAACCATCAGGAGGTGCATGTACTGACTGGTTGTCTTTTTTCTCGTCCCGAAAACATGGCTGTTCCTCTTATATTGCCCGTTCCTATTGTGAACAGTGATTTGGAGGCGTTAATAGTCAAATGCATGTGGTCTGTCTGTTATCCCTGGAGTTTAGTAGTGCCAAAATCCGCTTCCGTATAACAATGGTGCGGTACAGTCGACCTTTCATGAGAAGAGGTTTGCCCCTTCTATCGTTCGCAACGATGAGAAGTTACTGACTCGTATTCAAGTGAACTAGGGCCATACGATCCCGCTTGATAGTGTCGACTATTCGCTTTGATACGTCCCATCCGGAGATTTAACTCCGCTAAACCTTGATGATGACCCTAAGTAGAGGCTATACCTGACGCAGATCATTGGGAAGTATTTCTAGAGTGCCGGTTATCCTCTAATGTTACCAACATGATAATTGAAGATCAACAAAACAGTTCAATTTCGCACAATTCTTGCATGTCACAGGTCACATAAAATCGGGTCTAGTTTACTCATATAGACACCTGTTTGAATAACGCAGTGGTGACTTGCACATCCGAGTTCCAGTTTTCATATGGTCGGTATTTGATAGTTTCCATTTTCGACCTAAACTTTGCGATGTTCAGTGATTTGACACTCGGATTCAGTGGAACGAGAATGGTGTTCAAAATCAAAGCTGCGCAATACAGATATATTCACGGCTAATGAATGTTCTTTTTCGACTTGCTGACCGGGCGTATTCAGTAACGAAACACTGAGTTCCCATTTTGGTTCGCACAACCGCCAGTACATCATTGTCGTGCTTTAGGATTGCTGTGCTTCATCTTATACTGTGGGTGAGCCTAATTGGCCCTTGAAACACTTGTAAAAACATAAAACACATAAAACTAAATGATAAAATGTCATGCTCGCTATATGTTCTTCTCTGTTTTGTAATTACCGGATAAATAAGCGTCGGTGATCAAGTAGTTAACGTCACTGAATTAATCCTCCTGAGGTCGTGTCCGAAACCCACCGACATCGCCGAACTTCCCTCTATTTATTTTAATCTTACACCAATCATTTGCTTGGTCGCTTCCTCTTCCTGAATATTGTTTGTACTATAATATACTCAGTGAAGAAACATGAAGATAAAAGAGAAGAAATATAGCTACATATAAGAATGCAAAGAACAAAGAGGGGCATTGTGCTGGCGCAGCAGAGTTGGGTTCAAGTTACCTTCCAAAAAGTGAAATTCTGATTTGTCTTTTGAAATATGATGATAGCTACACTGCAACAGTTGTTCGGTTTTCAGCCTGTACACCCACGCGCTTTCGTGTGCCGGTTCTGTTTACTGTCTTTTGGCTACCCATTTGGATTGGGCAGTTGGAGGGAGACAAGAAAGTTGATAATAGAGTCGTGGTGAAAATTGAGAATCTCCGTAGACCAAGATTGCAAAGAGAACGAGAAGGTGCATAAACGCCACTGTTTACAACACTGAACCATATCACTCAGTGTTTCTAACCGTTGAATACAATAATCGTGAAGCCAAACGTGACCTCATTGACCGAGCCTAGTGGTTAGGGTTTTCCTACTCTCATGTCAGGCCTTAGTTTGACCATCCTTGGCTTTTTTCCACCCACTGTCTGCCTCAATAAACATCGTGCGTCGTGGCTATTTATTTGTTGACATGCGTATCACATGCCCCAAACAACATAAGCTATGGAGTTCGATCACTTGCTCCAGTGGACGACCGCGGCTACCTGAAACTCTACTCCTAACTTCAGCATTGCTCGTCCGGTTTTTCCACCAGGTTCATGCAAATGCTGCGTAGACAGCGGTGTTCGAACACTGACAGTCTATCTTTATCCTGTTTTCGTAATGGCCAAGTTTCTACGCTGCATAGAAGAACTGACCGAACTGCCGCAGCATACGCTCGGCACTTTACCGACTGTTAGATGTCGCGGTGGCACCAAAGATATCTTGGCAAATGCCAATCGAGCCGATAGTAAACATCTGGTTTGTAAATCACCCGTAATAAAGATTTTAATTTGAGTTAATTCCAGTCCTCCGGTCTGAGATTTTTTGCCTAAATGTGGCCGGCAATCAGTTACGGTTACTCTTGATGTCTGTCTGAAATGGCTGAGGCTTGAGCCCATCTCATCCAACTTTAGTGTTTGTCAGCTTCGCTGTTCTCCAGCTGTTTGGAATTATTTAAGCCCTTCATTGTTCTCCACACCGATTCGTATTACTTAAACCAACCATAGTAAAACACTCAAGCTTTCTTTTACTATTTATCACTCATCAGTGTACAATGAATTATTACTATGTCTGCAAAAAGAAAACATTAACTGTGTCACATGGATAAAACGTCATCGCACCCTCTATGGAGTAATTTTTTTGAAGACCATTGACCGTGGGCAGTTTTATGCTGACTTGGATTGATCTGATTATTGGACGTTCGAACCGATCTTCTTATTTGATATGCATCTTTATATACCTCTATTTCTACCTATTTCAGCCTGTAGATCCCCACGGAAGTTTAAATCCCTTTCCTGTGATAGACTTTGTTAGCGGCCCACGTCCATCCATTCCAGACCAGGACGGTGATCAAGTTGGTGAGAATCCAATAGAGGACTTAGATGAGGGACCAGATATCTGCATAAGCGATGACGATGATCTTGGTCTCCCGTTTGAGCGTGCTTTCACTCAGGTAAGCGTGCAAATTTCAGGGCATTTGGCCTTTTCTGTGTAGAAATTATGCACATTGTTTTATATTCTTATATGTAGTCTCATAATGCTGGGATTCCAAGTACTTGCCTGGCTGCTTATCACAAATGTCTCATTTTCTGCTTTTCAAGTGAGTTCAGACTGTGTGCCAAACAAATCGCAGTATGATAATCTTTATAAAAAGAAGAGCGTTCCACGATTTGCATGTGAGCTGAATACTGCCAGGTTGCCCAGGCCAAGACATGGATTTTCTTGAGGAATTCAACCGAAACCTTCGGAAGTGAAACGAAATTCAGAATCTTTTCAGGTTCAAAACCAGTTTTTATTTACTTGATCAGTCCACAATAAGTGAGAAATTATTATGTACACGGTGGTGACGCAGAGGTTTAATCACTGTCACTTTGGATTCTATGGTTTGCAGTTCACGCCGCACCACCGTCACTAAGCTTTAGTGGTAGGCAGCTTTGCTGTCGTCCGGTTCAATACCACACCTAACTTCGCGGGGCCTTCTGTGGTTCACCACTCCAAGTCTCGGGGCTTGGGTTACCGGTTTCCATCACGGAACAGGTTTTCGCGACTTTGGGGATCCATCTTGTCCGCTGCTCTTCACGCAATTGTGTGTAATAAAAAGAGGAAGCAGAGGAATACATTGCACCTATCCAATAACCATGAAGTCAAGACGCCAGAACTTTTGTTGTGAACAACTCATCGTTTAACCGTGGATCGATATGCCAAATAGCAGTTCATGTCCAACACGAACACCAGCTCTTTTGGTATTAGGTCTTCATCTCATTGATCGGTTTTTCGCAATATCTAACCAATTACCTTGTTTCTGATCCCACACAGCCCACTACTGTTGGTTTGGAATATGGCTTCCCCGGTGACTTGGAATTAATCTCACAACCCCGTAAAATCGCTCG